TCAGGACTATGAAACAAACAGTGGGGTAATTCCAAATAGTTGGCATTACTTGATCCTAAAGGGAGGGGCAAATGTTTTCTGTAAAGGGCCACAGAGTAAATATTTTAAGCTCTTTGACCTGCCAGTCTGTTGCATGAAAACAGTTACAGACAACATGTAAATAACTGGACATAGCTGTGCTCCCATTAAACTTCATTTACAAAAACAGCGCTCAGGTTTGGCCCACAGGCCATAGTTTGACAACCCCTGCAGAAGAGGGGCGTGGGGAGGGATGGTTGATGGTCCTGGTTCACAGTGAGAAATACCTTACAAGGAAAAGACAGGCCTAAACCCAGGCCCTCCTTCCAGCCCTGATATTTGCCTCTTCAGGATCTGGGTGAGGGGAGGTTGTGTATGGTTATGCGGAGCCCCGTAAAGGTTCCAGTGTGTACGTGGTGAGTCCTATAAAGGGAATTATTTAATCAGACAGTCCCAGGCTCAATTCTTGACTCTCTCTCTAGCTGTCTGACCTCTCTGAGCCTCTATTCATCTGTAAAATGGGAGTAACAACATCTGTCTTACAAGGGTTGATGTGCCCTGTCAGTGAGAGATGACCTAGGTAAAGCCCCTAGCATAGGGTCTGGCATACAGTAGGTGATCAATAAATGCCTGTTCCCTCTTCCCACTTTCCTTTAGCGAACGTGGGGTTCATACTACAATAGCTGCTAACCCAAAGGTTCGCTCCCAGGGTCAGAATTCTGCATCTTTATGTCGGAGGCCCGGTGATGCCCCCAGGCCTAGACCATGAGCATCCTGGTACAGAGGGACCTGTCTATAAGAATCCTTTCTCCAAGGTGAAACCCCAGCTGGAGGGCTGGTGCCAAAGTGAGTTCTTAAGGACACAAGCTTCTTTTAAAACAGGGTCACCCAAGGAGGGCGGTTGGGCCAGAGCCCCGGAGCTGACCTGGCCTGGTTTTGCATGGGTTTACGCAGAGGAGTGCCCTGATGTGATGTCATTTAACACCCTGGCTGCCGGCTGGGACTAATAGGTGGGGACAAAACACACTTATCCGCCCCCCAGCCTGAGGCT